GCGAGCGTTAGTTTGGGTTCTGGCGGGGAGAGCCCTGGGGTGGTGGAAGGTGACCTCCCCTCCATTTATGAGGAGATCGAGGCCCTGGGTCTGACCCTGGTCACCCAGGGGGAGGACGACCCTCTGCCAGCGGGCCTCGATCTAAGCGACCTCACCCCAATTCACCTTTCCCTATGTTCCCTTCCCCTAACTGCTGCTTCTACTCTCGCCTCTGAGGGTCCCCTGGATTCTTCCATCTGCCCGGCCGCGGGTGGCACCCCGCTGACAGCCGCCGAGCCTACTGAGGTGACTGTTGGTGCCACGCTGCCGGGACACGATTCCCATGGAGTGTCCCTTTTAGATGTGGGGCAACCGACCTACTTCCTGGGCTGGGACCCCATTAAAGACCGTCCATCTCCAGATGCAGTGACTGCCACACCGGCCACAGTGGCTGAGTCCAGCATCATTGAGTGTCCCAATCCCACCCCCCCAGATTCCTGAGCTGGACCAAGGGGGACCACCATCCAGCGGCCCAACTACTAGGGCTCGGGATCCTGCCTTTGTCCCCCTCCCTGATTCTGTTCCTGATCCCTGCCCTGACCCTACTCCTGACCCCAGCCCTGTCCCTGATGCCAGCCCCGTCCTTATCCCCTCTACCTCCTGTGATGCCATTGCCGCCCCTGGGGTCGAATCTGTCCATATCCCTGAGGATGACCCCCAGGGAGCGGCCTTTGTTTTTCCCTGTCCCGACCCACGAGGGGCTCCTGTTTCCTCTCCGCCGCCCCCTGTTGAACCAGGGAACAGGGCAGACCTCATGGCGTCAGCCCATCGGACACCACGTCAAGGGTCTGCCCCCTGCTTGCCCATCTCGGTGGGCCACGGGGCTGTGACGGGCCCCACTGGGGGAAAGTCATAGATCGGTAACCCGCCCCCCCATACGCTGAGAGAGGAGCTGCAGGAATTCCTTGAGGACATCCGTGGCTCCCGTCACAAGGTACAGCTTGCACTCCAGCGATGGGGGAATTTCCATCAGATCCTCCAGGCTGCGAGGGCCCTCATGGGGGAGGGTAAGAGGACTGGGAAGCAGGCCGCCGTGGCCTACCAGCGGGTCCTCCTCTTCCGTGACTTCTTACTCACCTACGGGGTAGGTCATGGTTTGCTGCGTGGCCCAACGGAGGCCGTGGGTGTCTCTGCCTGCGAGGATCCCCCCCAGCCCTCCTCATGGCACAGATCATCCTTGCAACATTGAACACCCGGGGCTGTAGGATGGGTCTCCGCAGGAGCTAGGTGCTCTCCTTCCTTCGGGAGTGGGGGTACTCTGTGGTTTTCCTGCAGGAGACCCATACGGATCCGGCTGCTAAAGCTAGCTGGCGGCTGGAGTGGGGGGACAGGGTCTACTTTAGCCACCTCACAGTTCGTACGGCTGGAATGGCGACCCTGTTCTCCCCCGACATACGGCCCAAGGTGCTCGGGGTCATCGAGGCTGTGCCGGGCTGCCTGCTGCACCTCCGGGTCTGCATGGAGGGGCTTGTGGTCAATCTCATCAACGTTTACGCCCCAACATCGGGCCTGGAGAGGTTGCGTTTTTATCAGCAGGCGTCCACCTTCCTCGTCTCCTTGGATCCTCACGAGTGCCTGGTCCTGGGCAGGGACTTTAACACCACCCTCGAGGAACGGGACAGCTCGGGGACTGAGCAGTGCCCAGCCACCGCGGACGTCCTCTGGGAGATCGTCGAACATCCCTCCTTGGTGGACGTCTGGCGCGACCACCACCCGGACAACGTCTCAACATTCACCTTTGTCTAGATGGAGGCCCATCAGTCCCGCCACTCCTGGCTGGACCGCATCTATTTATGACGTTTCCACCTTTCACGGGCCCACTCCTCCAGCATTTGGCCGGCCCCTTTTTCAGATCGCCACCGTGACGGCCTCTCTCTGTGCGGAGAGGCCGGGGCTGGCCTTTTGGCACTTTAATAACAGTTTGCTGGAGGATGCGGGCTTCATAACGTCCTTCCAGGAGTTCTGGCTGGCCTGGCGAGGGCAGAGGCGCGCCTTTCCCTTTGCGTGGCGGTGGTGAGACGTGCGGAAGGTACACGCCCGGCTCTTCTGACGTGACTACACCCGGCGCCAGCCGACGGAGGGATGCGGCGATAGAGCAGTTGGAACGGGAGGTCTTAGCGCTGGACAGGCATCTGGCCTCCAGCCCCGGGGATCCATCCCTCTGCAGAGTGTGCCGGGAGAAGCGGGAGGCTCTCCAGGTCCTCGAAGACCATCGAGCCCAGGGTGCCTTTGTTCATTCCCACATCCGCTTCCTTCGGAAGATGGATTGCGGCTCCCGCTTCTTCTATGCTCTGGAGAAAAAGAGGGGGTGCCAAGAAGCACATCACCTGCCTCCTGGCAGAGGACGGCACCCCCATCATGGATCCAGCAGGGAGATGTGCGGGAAGATCAGGGCATTCTACGCAAATCTTTTCTCCCCGGATCCGACCGATCCTAACACTTGCAGAGTTCTCTGGGATGGACTCCCGACGGTCAGCACGGGTGACTGTGACTGGCTAGAGTTGTCTCTCACTCTGGCCGAGTTCTCGGAAGCCCTCTGTCACATGCCCACCAATAAATCTCCGGACATGGCCGGGCTGACCGTGGAGTTCTACTGCATGTTCTGGGACGTCCTCGGCCCAGAATTAGTCACCGTCTGGGCCAAGTCTTTGCAGAGCGGGGTCCTCCCTCTTTCATGCAGGTGAGCCATGCTCGCCTTATTGCCGAAGAAGGGGGACCTCCGCAACTTACGGAATTGGGATCCCATCTCGCTCCTCAGCACGGACTACAAAATCGTGGCAAAGGCCATCTCGATGTGGCTAGGGTCCGTGCTGGCGGACGTGGTCCACCCAAACCAGACCTACACCGTCCTGGGCCGCACAATATTTAATAACCTGTATCTGGTCCGGGACCTCCTGGAACTAGGGTGTAGGGATGGTCTGTCATTCGCCCTCTTGTCCCTGGATCAGGAGAAGGCGTTCGACAGGGTGGACCATGGGTATCTCCTGAGCACACTGCGAGCATTTGGCTTCGGACCCCAGTTTGTGGGTTTTCTCCAGGTGCTGTACGCTTCCACAGAGTGTCTGGTCAGGCTCAACTGGACCCTGACTGAGCCAGTCAGCGAGCTCAGTCCATCCGGTGGACTGCGGGTCCGCTGCTTTATCTCGGCGTTTACCTTTCTGCCACTCATCCATCTCTGCTGGAGAACTGGCACGGCTTAGAGGGCAGGGTGACGGAGCAGCTCCGGAAATGGACAGGACTACTCTGGTGCCTCTCCCTCCGATTAAGGGCATTGGTGCTCAATCAATTAGTCCTGTCCATGCTCTGGTACCAGCTCAACACCCTGGTCCCGGCCCCGGGTTTCCTGGCCAACCTCCGGACGGCGATTCTGGAGTTCTTTTGGCTAGGAATGCACTGGGTCTCTGCAGGGGTCCTCCATTTGCCCCTGGAGGAGTGGGGGCAGGGCCTGAACTGCCTACACACTCAGGTCCATGTCTTCCACCTCCAGGTCCTGCAGAGGCTCCTGTATGGTGCAGGTAGTCTGGCATGGAGAGTACTGGCACACGCCTTCCTGTGCCACTTCTGAGGGCTCTGATACAACCGGCAGCTCCTTTATCTCCATCCGAGAGGTCTTCCACGAGACCTCTCCGGGCTGCTGGTCTTCTACCAAGACCTCCTCCGGACCTGGAAGCTGTTTTCAATGACCAGGTCTGTGGCGGCCACTGTGGGGGCTGATCTCCTCGCGGAGCCCCTGCTACACAACCCCCAGTTTCGTGCGCAGGTGGCGGAGTCCCCCTTGGTGCGCCAGAGGCTGGTCTTGGCAGAAGTCACCAGGGTCGGAGACCTCCTGGACTACGACCAGGGAGACTGGCTGGATCCCCTGATGCTCGCTCAGCGCATGGGGCTCTCCAGACCTTGCACTCCCCAGCACGTACTTCAGAAGGTGAAGGCCACTTTACTGCCCGCTGCTCGGGCCTACCTCGACCGGGTCCTGCGAGAGGGCACGCCCTGCCCACCCTCCACCCCAGGCCCTGTGGACCTTTTCATTGGGCCCCTGCCCCGTGGACCCAACTGGCCCCCCCGCCCTTTCACTGTGAGCTCGCTGCACGATCTGCAGCCGGTTCTGTTCCAGACTGCACCAAAGAAGCATCTGTACACACTTGTACTCCACATCCTTCACTTCCTCACCCTCGCATCCCGCCCCAACACAAAGTGGCGGGACCTCCTACCACCTCTCGAGGGTGAGAAGCCCCGGTGGGTCAGCCTATACTCCACCCTGGTTCCAAGGCCCACTGGAGATATCAGTTGGCAGCTCCTTCCTGGGGCCGTGACCACAGGTGTGTACTTGACGCTGTTTACCCCATCCCAAACACCTGCTCCTTTTGCGGCATGAAGGAAATGCTGGCGCACATTTATCTAGAGTGCACCAGATTGCAGCCCCTATTCTGGCTCCTCTTAGATATATTATTACATTTTTGGTTGCACTTTTTCCCTTACCTGTTCATCTATGCACTCCCCATCTGTGGCCCCACAAAGTTGCGGGACCTCCTTATCAACCTTCTCTTAGCCCTGGCCAAACTAGCCATCTACAAAACCAGGGAGAAGAGGTTGGCCGACGGGATTTCCTGCGACTGTGGGGCCTATTTCCGCTCCTCCGTCCATTCACCCATCTGGGCAGAGTTCCTCTGGGCGGCATCTGCTGGCTCCCTTGAGGTCACACCTTGTTAAACATCAGGCATTACACACAGGAGAAAGACCACACAAGTGCTTGGACTGTGGGAAAAGTTTCATACAGAGGTCACACCTAGTTCGTCATCAGGCAATCCACACAGTAGAGAGACCCCACAAGTGCTTGGACTGTGGTAAAAGTTTCATAAGAAGGTCACACCTTGTTAAACATCAGGCATTACACACAGGATCGAGACCCCATAAGTGCTTGGACTGTGGGAAAAGTTTCATACAGAGGTCCGACCTTCTTAAACATCAGGCAATCCACACAGGAGATAGACCCCATAAGTGCTTGGACTGTGGGAAAAGGTTCATTCAAAGGTCAGATCTTATTCAACATCAGAGAATCCACCCAGGAGAGAGACCTCACAAGTGCCTGAACTGTGGAAAAAGTTTTGTATGGAGGTCAGACCTTGTTAAACATCAGGTATTCCACACAGGAGAGAGACCCCATAAATGTTTAGATTGTGGAAAAAGATTCATACGGAGGTCAGACTTTGTTAAACATCAGTCAAACCACACAGGAGAGAGACCACACAGGTGTTTATTCTGTGGAAAAGGTTTCAGATGGAGGTCACGCCTTCTTAAACACCAGAGAATCCACACAGGAGAGAGACCTCACAAGTGTTTAGACTGTGTGGAAATTTCACTTCTAAACTTCTCTGATGCAGGGACAGAAGGTGTTAAGGAAATTGCATGTAATTGACCTAGAATCAAGCTTTAGAGACATGTTAGAAAAGTGTGTACTCATTAGATCAGGGGTAGGCAACCTATGGCACGCGTGCTGAAGGCGGTATGCGAGCTGATTTTCAGTGGCACTCTCACTGCCCGGGTCCTGGCCACAGGTCTGGGGAGCTCTGCATTTTAATTTAATTTGAAATTAAGTTTCTTAAACATTTTAAAAACCGTATTTACTTTACATACAAAAATAGTTTAGTTATATATTATAGACTTAGAGAAAGAGACCTTCTAAACATGTTAAAATGTATCACCGGCACACGAAACCTTAAATTAGAGTGAATAAATGAAGACTCGGCACATCAATTCTGAAAGGTTGCTGATCCCTGCGTTAGAAAAACTAGAGCTTCGAAAGGTAAACGTTTATTGTTAAAGACATGGAAGAAGATGGTAACTGTAGTAGTCTTTGTTTAGCTATATCTTGTTACAGGTTAATAATGGAAGTAAATGGTTCCTGTCTAGGGCTCTATTCTGTGAATTCAGAGATCAAAAGGGAATATTAACATTTAGACAAAACTTGGTTGTAATAATGTCATTGTTTGTCTCCTGAAAGTTTGTGGTAAACTGTCTATGAACTGCTTTATAGAGAATCACATGTTAATCCATGTTACCAGTGATGTTTAGGAAATAGAAGGTTACTTCAAAAGCCTATTCTTCATCCAATGACTGTGTGCTGTCGAGACACTGCAAAAGTTATCCTTTCTTTTGTGTGGGTGAATCCAATCTCTGCGGGCAGAGGGGATCTCCCGGCGGGTCTGCACTCCCCAATCGCAGCAAGTGGGGGGCGGGGATACCCTGCAGCTCTGCAGTCCCCACAATTCAGCTCCCTGGCCGCTGCAGGGACCTGGGCAACCACCGTAGCTCCCAGCCTGGGGAGGAATCCCCCAGAGTTCCCCAGTCCCCAAGTGGTGAGGAAGCCCCCTGACTGCCCAGTGCCTGTAAGTGTGAGGGACTGCTGGAGCTCTGGGCATGGGGGAATGTCCTGTGGCTCCCCAGCCATCACTGGCAGGGGCATTCTGCAGCTCCCCATTCTGCACGGGATCTCCCGGAGCTCTCCAGGGTGGGTCCATGGATGAGGGGGATGTATGGAGCTCGCTAGGCACCACAGGTGGCAGGGTAACCGCTGCAGTTCCCCAGCCTGGGGGGCATTCCCACAGATCTCCAGCCCCAGCAGATGGGGGATCCCTCACAGCTCCCCAGTCACTGCCAGTGTGGGGGAGCCCCAGAGCTCTCCAGTCCCCATGGATGTGGGGGAATCCCTGGTGCTTCCTAACACTTGCAGGCAGCAGGGTAACCCCCACAGCTCCCCAGCCTAGGGGAAGACATCCCCCAGAGCTCCCCAGTCCTCTGGAGGTGGGGGATCTCCTGCAGCTCACCCTGTTGTAAACATCTGTTCTCACTTTCAGGTGACATTGTAAATAAAAAGTAGGCAGCATTATGTCCCATAAATGTAAACAAACTTCTTTCTCCAAGTGATTGCCTGAACAAGAAGTAGGACTGAGTGGACTTGTCAGCTCTAAAGTTGTACATTGTTTTATTTTTCAGCGCAGTTATGTAATAACAAAAAATCTACATTTGTAAGTTGCACTTTCGTGATAAAGAGATCGCACTATAGTCCTTGTATGAGATGAATTGAAATATACTATTTCTTTTGTCATTTTTCCAGTGGAAATATTTATATTAAAAATAATAATATAAAGTGAACACTGTATACTTTATATTTGCTTTGTAATTGAAATCGATATATTTGGTTGGAAATGTAGAAAAATATCCAAAAATATTTAATAAATGTCAATAGATATTCTATTTTTAACAGTGTGATTAAAATTAATCACAATTTTTTGTCATGATTAATTTGTTTGAGTTAATCGTGTCAGTTAACGGTAACACTGCTCTACAGCCAAAATGCTTCTGAAATAAATGTAGTCAAACTTTACTAATTCTGGGTCACTGAGAATGAAAATGATGCTTAAAATTGTTGATTGGCTCTAGCTTTCAAGTTATGCTATTGGGTCAGTATATAGATTCATAGATTCATAGATTCTAGGACTGGAAGGGACCTTGAGAGGTCATCGAATCCAGACCCCTGCCCACACGGCAGGACCAAGTACTGTCTAGACGACCCTTGACTTGGGAATGGCGGAAGATAAGTGAGTTATAAAGGGAAGGGATCTCAATTTAAACCAGAAATGACTAAAATGCATCTTTGACTGGATCTATGAATAAATCTATGACTGGGTTTGGACAGTACTTGCTTTTTAGGCAAAACAATGAATGATGC